CTGAGTAGCTGGGATTACAGGCACGCACCACCATGCCCAGCTAATTTTTTTGTATTTTTAGTAGAGACGGGGTTTCACCATGTTGACCAGGATGGTCTCGATCTCTTGACCTCGTGAACCACCCGCCTCGGCCTCCCAAAGTGCTGGGATTACAGGCTTGAGCCGCCGCGCCCGGCCTCACTTTGGTGTTCTAACACCAGGCTCTGCCGGCAGCACTTGGCAATGAACACAGCTGCTGCACAGACTCAAAAAGAGAAGTGGGAGGGTCAGTGCTGGGTTAGGGCACATTCAAAGGGCCTTCGTCGAAATGGCTGGAGAGACGCTACCTCTGAGCAGCTTTCTGGAGAAACCTCAACCTGCTTCCTGAAAGGGCAAGCCATGCTAACACCTTCAGTAAAGAGTCATTTGTGGGATAATCCATTACCATCTATTTGCGCTATAGGAAAAGCAGCCTTTTGAGAGAGGAGAACTTAGGACAGGGAAGTTTTGCTAGGGGCAGGGACTTCGAAGTCTGGGGACTTCCCAGTCCCGGGGATGACTTGCAGCTGTGGGTGAATCACGATGTCCACTGATGTTTAGTGTATGTGCACTGAGCCTCCCGGCCACTGCACTGCGTAGATTAGCTCTGAGAATTGCCACAACTTACCAGGTAGGTACTTTTTCTCCCTTCTATTTTTATAGATGAAGACACAGACACAGTAAAGTCACAGAGCCAACAAGTAAGGGAGCTGGGATACTAACCCAATAAGTCTGCCTCCAGAGCCTGAAGCCTCCTACTCCCTCTCCCTGCACCTCTGGGCCCCAGGGTGGAGAAGGAGAGCAGGACTACACCAGTGTCCTTTCTGTGCTCAGGGCGCAGCACCCAGTAGGTAACCACAGGTATTGAAATGAACAGTGACACAAAAAGCACTGTCCAGGACAACCCTTTCCTACCCCGACCCTTCTTCATGAAGCTCACCTGGGCCTCGCCCTTCCCCAGCCCCACATTTCCACTGAATATAAACAGAGACCCCCACTTATTTGCCTGACTTTGGAATCTAACCTCTGGCCCGTAGCCATCCTGGGCTCTGCCCCCTTTTGTATACAAAGCCTTTGTCTTCTTAGGAAAATGAACAGTTCTGCCCATAAAACTACCCAGCCCGAAAGGGAGTTGGAGAAAGTGCCTCATGGAAAATTATAGAAACACATTTCTTTGTATTTGAATACTTCCAGGACCTCACTTTGGCAGCAAACCGACTCCGGGTTACACCCCAGCATCCTCAGCCTTTTCGTGCCACGGACCTCTTTGGTGGCATCTGATGAAGCCTATGGACTTCTCAGAATAGATTTTTTTAAGTGCACAAAATAAAGACAGAGAGCAATGGAAATAAACTATATCAAAATAGACTTTATGAGAATATTTGTGATATTATATGATATGCCTTCTTGGCATGTTAAATAACAAGATCCAGAGTTGGGTCTAATTACTGCAGTTTTGAGGTTTCGATCAGCAAAAATGATACCTCAAGATGTCTACAACAACTGTGGAATAATATGAAATATCTGTGCCTTCTGTTGGTAACAAAGTAGCTAGTGCAGCTAACGCTAATGAGGTTCATTCCCAGCGACATTCACCATGGAAGGAAATGCTGAATTTAGTGAAAGGTTAGGGAAAATCAAGGTGTAATCCTCCTCCTCCCTGTCTTTCCCTGTTTTTTTTTTTAGGCATGGCCTTGTTCTGTTGCCCAGGTTGGAGTGCAGTGGCACAATCATTGCTCACTGCAGCCTCAACCTCCCGGGCTCAAGCTATCCTCCCACCCCAGCTTCCTAAGTACCTATAACCATGGGTGTACACCACCACACCCGGCTTATTTATTTATTTTTTAGTAGAGATGGGGCCTTGCTGGTCTCGAACTCCTGAGCTCAAGTAATCCTGCTTTGGCCTCCCAAAGTGCTGGGATTATAGGCATGAGCCATCATGCCCAGCCCCCTTTCCCATTTTAAAGAGTTCCAGTCCTCGTCAGCCCAGGCCTGGGATTTCCGCTCTGGCTCCATGATATTCCTGGCTTATGTTTGCGATGGGAAAGACCAATTAGCAAGTATGCAAATGATGATCCCTTAGCGTGTGCCCTTGCAGCAGTTGACTCTTCCAGTGTCAAGGCTGGGAATTAATGGTTTATAAAAGTGATGTTCCCACTAGTTGACCCTCCGAGAACACTTACTATGTGCCTACGTGCTTGTCCTTGTGAGAAAAGCCCCATCTGTCGTATTTCACCCCATCCCCAGGTGGGCTGAGTATGTTTACCCTTTGCCCGGAGTGGAGAATATGGCTCAGAGCTGAGAAAGAGCTGCGCAGGTTGAGGTCACAGGTTTGCCTCATGCACTTGCCTTATCTCTAAACTATAAGCACCACACACACCGTCACCAGCATTTTTATCTTGATTTCGGTTAACCCACGATGACGTAATAATAATAATAGTCACCAACAGGAACGGCCCTTCGGTATTTCGGAATCTTGCGTCACCACCGTCCTCACCACCACCATCACCACTATCTTCATCATCAGATGAATAGCTAATCCTAGTCACTATGTTACTCCACACACTGTTCTAAGGATTTAACTTGACGAACCTTCCTAACAGCAGGACAGGCTAAAACATCTGGTTAAGGTCATGTAGCCAGTAAGCTGGAATTTGAACCAAGGAAATCTGGCTATAACATCCTTGTTTCTTAAAAGGTTTTTTTTTTTTTTTTTTTTAGACAGAGTCTTGCTCTGTCTCCAGGCTGGAGTGCAGTGGCACAATCTCGGCTCACTGCAACCTCCGCCTCCTGGGTTCAAGCGATTCTTTCACCTCAGCAGCCTCCCGAGTAGCTGGGACCACAGGCGCGTGCCACCACGCCCGGCTAATTTTTGTATTTTTAGTAGAGACGGGGTTCCACCATGGCCAGGATGGTCTCGATCTCTTGATCTTGTGATCCACCTGCCTCGGCCTTCCAAAATGCTGAGATTACAGGCGTGAGCCACTGCACCCGGCCTTTAAACGTTTTTATTGAAGTAGAACATGGACATCGAAAAATGCATAAACGTGTGTGTGGAGCCAGTGACTCTTCACACAGTGAGCACTCACTCAACTCACCCAGTCCACACTCACTCAACCCACCAACCAGATCCAGAATTAGAACCCTGTAAGCACCAGTAGCTTTTCACTCCCCACCCAATCCCCAAGATAACCAGTCTTTTTTCTTCCTCTTCTTTTTTTTTTTTTTTTAAGACAGTCTCGCTATGTTGCCAGGCGCCAGGCTGGAGTGCAGTGGCACGATCTCAGCTCACTGCAACCTCAGCCCCCCAGGTTCAAGCAGTTCTCCTGCCTCAGCCTCCCAGGTAGCTGGGACTACAGGCGTGCACCGCCACGCCCAGTTAATTTTTTTTTTTGTATTTTTAGTAGAGCACTGTCTTAACTTCTATTGCCATTGATTAGTTCTGCCTTTTTCTTTTTAGAGACAGGGTCTTGCTATGTTGCCTAGGCTGGTCATGAACTCCTGGCCTCAAGTGATCCTCCCACCTGAGCCTCCCAAAGTGCTGGAATTACAGGTCTGGCCTCAAGGAAAAGTGAGCATTTCTGTCTTACTGTGGAATGGAGTGAGAGATAGCTATGTATCAAGTGCTTTAAGCAGGGGAAATGACAACAAATCACTTCAGTCATATTGTCACAGTACCTGCATCCTATTTTTGAACTTAAATAAATGCGCCTTCATTATTAGCCACTATGCCATCTCACTTAGTCTGCAGAATGACCCTAGTGTCTAGAAAATTGCTTTTTCTTTTTTTTTCTTTTTTTTTTTCTTTTTTTTAAAGCCAGTCAAGAAAATAGCTTTTTCTTATGCCCATTTTACAGCTGAGGAAATTGAGTCATCTACAACATTTGAGTAACTTTCTTGAGACCCCCACATCAGTGTATGGTGGAAGTGGGAGTCTTACCCAGATCCTCGAGGCTGACTGCACCATCTGCTGCCTCACCATCCACCCAGCCTGGACTTCTGCTGGGAAACTCGCAAACACATTAGAAATCAGGGATGTTTGTGTGAACACATGGTCCCATTGCCCTAACTGCTCCAAAGCTTCCTATCAGAGGCCTATCCCTGCCCTTTCAGGGGACCAATCTACGCCAAAGTCCCCTGTCGCAACAATATGAGCTTCTGGTTGTTCTTCAAAAATCTGCAACAAAGTCCCACCTCCTCGTCTTTGCATGTACTTTCCCCCTGCTGATGACACAGTCCACCCCTCCAGGCACCTGCTTGGCTTCCTCCTTCGCTGTTTCAGTGTCACCTCCTGGCAAGGCTGACCCCGACCCCTGACTCTCTATCTGCATAACATGGCCATGGGCTCTCTTGTTCTTCTGCCTTTGTCTCTAAGCCAAATGCCTATTCCATTTGGCTCCATATTCTATACATGTTTATTTGTCTCCCAGCACTAGAATGTATGTGCCGTGAGGACAAAGTGCTGTTTCATTCACTGCTATATTCCCAGGGCCCAGATTTACATGGCACACAGTAGGGACTCAATACGAGTGGAAGGAGGACTTCCCACAGAAATTCTCCACCAAAATAAAAATAGCCTCCACTGAGGAAGGATACCTAAATCCACTGCTTTGCACACAGGGGCAGTGCTGTGGACTTTTGCCAGGGTCCGATCTTTAGTTGTGACAAAGACCAGAGGTTGAGGGGAACAAGGCCAAACCCAGTGAGGTAGCTCCTCTGCTGGCCGGGAAGCCACGGAGGGCCTACCCTACCCCTCTCAGGCTGCTATGTTGACTGTTTCCTCATGTCTGCAGCCAGCCAAGGTGCCCCACCCCAAAGCATCAAAGGGGAGAAGCAGCCACCAGCCTAGAGGTGACAATAGGGCCGCTGTGTGGTACGGGCCCTTGGGTAGGGCATGCGCTCAGGCAAATGAGCCAGAGCACATGCAGATATAGAGGCATGTGTGCTGCCTGAGTTCTGCTTCCACTCCAGGGCTCGCCAGCATGGAGGACAGTCTAAAGCAGCTCAGCCTGGGGAGACATCCCAACGGGGCAGGGGGCAGCCAGGCCCTGGCTGAGCTCCAGGACCTTGCCCTGAAGTGGTTCATGGAGACACAGGCCCCCTTCATTCTGCAGAACGGTGCCCTGCCTCCTTGGTTTCACGGATTCATCACTCGCAAGTAAGGCTGCTTCCACCCACAGGTCCCCATAGCCTACAGTCCCTCGGGGCTGAGAAAATGATCTGGGAACTCTGGATCAGACTGGTTCCTGCCCTTTCCCTGGGCTAGGCAGGGGCCCTGGAAGGTGGTGGGCAGGGGAGCAGACTGAGAGGTACCACGTCCTCTGGTGGTGGCTTCTGTGGGCACAGTCGGGGAGAGCAACAGCCTCTACTTCAGCACAAGTGGAGTATGGCTGGGGCTGCCAGGCTGCCAGAGGACAGAAAGAGGGCCAGGCCCTGACTTGATGAGTAACTAGGGGACCCTATCATTTATCATCCAAACTAGAACACTATTAGCAACTAAGCTAGGAGAACCGCTGTAAACGGGGCCACCCCGGGCAAAGCTGGATGCACCGTTGCCCTAGGTATAAAGGCCAAAATATGGGTTTGGCTTTCTATCTGGGAGGGATCTTCAAGCAGCCAAAACGTCTGATGAAGGAATGACAAATCCAGCCAGTCCTTAGATACTGGCACAGCCCCTGCACAGACCCAGGGCCAGCTTTATGGGCACTGACTTGCACACCAGCACAGGGTCACCAGGGCTCCACATTTGGTTTAATGCTCTTCTGTCGCTGTCTTGAAATTCTAAATCATTTTGAACCAGGGGCCCCGTGTTTTCATTTAGCACCCGGCCCTGCAAATTATGTAGCTGCATAGGTCAGGCACTCAGTATTTGGTGAGTAATTGGGTGAGGGAATACGTATCTGGTGTATGTACTGCCAAACCAGAAGATGGCTGGAATTTTTCACCTTGCCTCCAAAATATTTGGCACCGTGTGGAAAATCTCTGTAGCTGCCTGGGATTGAAAAGGGCAGGAAGGGAAATGAGTCCATTTTAGCTGCCTCAGACACAGCAACATCAGCAGCGGCATCCGCATCCCTGCAGCAGCTCATGTGGAGTGCACATCTGCACAACTATATGCAGTGGTTCTGAGGGAGGGACTCCCGGCTAAACCTCAACATCTCCAGCTGTGTGGATTTATTCTTGTTACACAGCCATCCAGGTGAAGAGTGAGTGGCCAGGGTCAGCCACCAGGGTGCCTGCTAGTGAGGCTGCCGTGAGGACCGGGGGCTGCATAGAGCTTCAGACTCTGACCCAGCCCAGGACAGTCTTGAACATGATGAATTGGGCCCAGATAGACCACATACGGAGCCCTGACGGGCCACAGACTCCTCCAAAGGTCTGAGTGGTTCCTCTATAAAGGGTTGGAGGTTTGGGACCCAAAGACAGGGCCAGCAGGGATTCCAAGAGAGGCCTAAGTTAGGCTGCTCCTGCTGCCGTTAGGACACAGACCCCAGCTGATGGCATGTCCTCTGCCCAGGCAGACGGAGCAACTACTCAGGGACAAAGCTGTTGGGTCCTTCCTTATCCGCCTCAGTGACCGAGCCACCGGCTACATCTTGTCCTACAGGTAAGAGGGAAGCCCTCGGGGCAAGCGAGCTCAGCCGACCATAACGTAGCCTTGCAGATTAGTGCAGAGGCCCCACCCGCCCAGATTGCCTAGCTTTCCCTGGGTCCTGACTCCTGACTGTCTCATTCATCCATCACATGCTCAGCAGACATTTCCTGAGCAGCACCGGCCATGTGCTAGGGATGAAGCCATGGCCTTCCAATGAGGTGAGTGGGGGTCAGGGGAGGCTTCACAGAGGTGAACTTTGAGCCCAGGATAGAAGGAAGAATGCAGGTTGCAAGGGAGAAAGGAGGGCGTGGTTGGGGTTGAGGAGGGGGTCTCTGGTAGATGGAACGGCATGTGCAGAAGTACAGAGGATGAAAGACGAGGGTGCCGGGGGAGCTGCAGGTTGCTGGGTGCAGCAGAACGCTTGGTTCTTTTGGAGAAATGCTTGGAGGGAAGGGCGGGAGAAGCTTAGAATGGCCTTAGATCCCTGGCTGTCTGTAGACCATGAAGGATGATCTGGTTCAACGTATTTGCATAGGTCCTTTACGCAGCCTGTGGAGAGAGGACTGGAAGTCAGAGCTGGAGGTGTGGGGGGCACTGGGTACCCCTGCGATTGCCTGGATGTGAGATAATGGGCTGTGGGCTAGGGAAGGACAATGGGAATAGAGAAAAGGAGGCAAGGCAGCCAGGACAAAGGCAGAGATGGTGAGGTCCGATCTTGTCCCAAGAGTAGGGTGGTCGGGAGGAGGGAGACAGAGGAGAGAAGAAGGCTTCCCTAAGTAGGGAGGGGGCCAGGACTCCAGGGTCAACTTAAAAGGCTTCAGATTCAGATTGAAAATTGTCACATATTTAGATGGCCGCAGTTCAAACCCTGACCTTGAGCAAGTTACTTTGCTTCTCTGTTCCCCCGTTTCCTCATCTGTAAAATGGGAATATGATAGTACCTGCTTCATGGGATGGATGAAAGTGTGCAATCAGTTGATACATTTAAACGTGCTTGGCACAATGCGTAAAACATAGTAAGGACTTTAAATAAATGTTAGCCATTCATTGTTAAAATATTTTTATTCTGACACTGTGCTACTCGTTTTGAAATATACTAACTCGGTAGTTTTCAAAAGTCTTTTAAGCTTTAGGGATTTTTTTTCTTTTGTTTTGTTTCTTCCCAGATGAGATGTTAGGCAGAATACTAACTCCGTTCAAAGGCATACAAATAGAAAAATGAAACAGAATAGAGTCCCAAAATAGTCCCAAATGTTTGGTTACCAGATTTACAACAGAGGCGTCACTGCAATTCCGTGGGGGAAAGGCTTGTTTTTTCAATAATTGGTGCAGGAGCAATTGGATATCTAAATGGAAAACCATGACTGCTACTCATACCATACATGAAAGTTAATTAATTCTAGATGGATCACAGATCCAAGAGAGAAAAGCAAAACAATACTATTTCTAGAAGAAAACAGGAAAACATTGTCATAGGTAAATGAAAATGTCTTTGAAAATGAGAGACCAAGATTTTTTAAACAGGACACAAAAAGGCACTCATCTTAAAAGAGTGATTAATTTGATTTCCTAAAACTAAGAATATTTATTTCTTTATTTTTCTTTCTCTATTTTTTTTTTAGATGGAGTCTTGCTCTCTCGCCTAGGCTAGAGTGCAGTGGCGGGATCTTGGCTCACTGCTGGTACTACAGGCGCATGTCAACACGCCTGGCTAATTTTTGTACTTTTGGTAGAGATGGGGTTTCACCATATTGGTCAAGCTGGTCTCGATCTCCTGACCTCGGGTGATCTACCCGCCTCAGCCTCCCAGAGTGCTGGGATTACAGGCGTGAGCCACTGCGCCCGGCCAAAATTAAGAAATTTTATAATTAAAAGATATTATTAAGAGAAGAAAAAGGTCAGGGTGGAGACGTTATCTATTAGAATACATGTATCTAACAAAGGACTCAAATCCAGAATATATAAAGAACTCCTACAAATAAGTACGACAAAAACAGTAATTCAATAAATAAAAGCAAAAGACCTAAGCAGGCACTTTACCAAAAAGAAAAACCCAAACCTAGAAGGCCCATAAGCATATGAAACGGTGTTCAGCATCATTAGCTATCGGAAATGCAAATTAAAGCAACAATGGATGGCAATAGTGGAAAGACAGAATACATGGAACAACTGGAACTCTTATACATTGCAATTATTTTATTTTATTTTATTTATGAGACAGAGTTTCACTCTTGCTACCCAGCTGGAGTGCAATGGCATGATCTCAGCTCACTGCAACCTCCGCTTCCTGGGTTCAAGCAATCCTCTTACCCCAGCCTCCCGTGGGATTACAGGCAACCACCACCACACCTGGCTATTTATTTTTTTATTTTTTTTAATTTTTAATAGAGACTGGAGTTTCACCACGTTGGTCAGGCTGGTCTTGAACTCCTGACCTCAAGTGATCTGCCCGCCTCAGGCTCTCAAAGTGCAAGGATTACAGGCATGAGCCACCGCACCCGGCCCATTGCAATAATTTTAGAAAGGAATTTGGCATGATTTACTAAAGTCAAACAGGTGTACCCTTGACCCATCAACTCTACTCCTTGGTATATTCTCATCAGAAATGAGTACATATTCACCAAAAGATATGTACAAGAATGCTCACAGCAGCTTTATAACAGCCCAAATCTGGAAACATCCTAAATGTCTATCAACAGAATAGGTTCATGGTGGATTTTTCATTAACTGGAATATGACATATAAACAAGAAAAAAAAGAAAAAGAAACTAATCCTACGTGGACATGAATCAATCTCCAATATATAACGTTGAGTGTAGACACAGAAGAGAGGTATTACAGAAGTTCTCCGACGGGCAAGACTAACCTATGCTGATAGGCGTCAGAACAGTGGCTACCTTCTGGGGACATTGACAGGATGTGAGCACAAGAAGGTCTTGGGGGCCGGAAAGGTTTTGTATCTTGATCTGAGTGGCAGTTACAAGGGAGTGTTCCTACACGGAAATTCATCAAGCTGCACATTTGTGATGTATGCACATCATCGTTTAGAAGTTATTCTTCTAGGAAAAAGGAAGGTGAAGAGGGTGGGATTTTAGGGTGGGACTTTACCGACTGCAGAGGCGGTGGGAACTCCATCGTTGCAGCCGGGTGGGGAGTAGAGTGAGATTGTTGTACAGGTTCAGGGTTAGATCTTGTCTTTATTTAAAACTTTGGTGTTTTGCTCATTGTGGATTTTTTTCCCTGCATTTTGACTTTCTAAAATATTGCGTTATCAGTTTTCGTGATTGCGTTTTTTGGCACCCCTTTAAATTCCACACCCAAGATGAGTGTCTCACTTGCCTCACCCCAGTCGCAGCCCTGCCCTCCCTGACTCCACCAGAACAGGCTTAGGTGCTTCCCAGGATCCCAGGGCCCCATGGTTTGAAAACCTCTCCCTAGTTTCCTGACGAACACACACCATGGCTCCAAGTGTGGCACAGTGGCCCCGGGTCAAGCGGGTCTGTTCTGGATCCAGAGCTGGGACCCCTCTCCCGCACCCAGGCACAGAGCTCAGACCCTGGGCCGAGGCTGGGCTGCCTGTGGTCAGCAGCCCCAGACCACAGGCACTTGTGTTGCAGGGGCAGCGATCGCTGCAGGCATTTTGTCATCAGCCAGCTTCGAAACCGGCGTTACGTCATCTCAGGAGACACCCAGAGCTATAGCACCCTGGCCCAGCTTGTGCGCCATTACCAGGAGGCACAGCTTGAGCCCTTCGGAGAGACGCTGACTGCTGCCTGCCCCCGGGTAGGTGCCCCTCTTCCCCAGGGTGACGGTGGCGGGGCAGGGAGCCCAGGCCTGGGGTGTCCATCACTCAGGCTACCCCTTTTCAAGCCCTCCCTATTTACTGTCATCCAGGGGCACTCCGTGTGGGGTCACGATCCCTACTGGACAAAGGGAGACTGTGACGATGTCTTACCTGAGGTCAGGGACCTGGTGGGAACGTTTCAGTTCCTTACCAGCAGTCTCAGGTAGGCAGCTGGAGACTGACTGGACGTGTGTGACCACCTGCCTGCTGTATCTCCATCCCCCCCAGCCAGAGGACGATAATCTGTATGATGCCATCACCCGGGGCTTCCACCAGACCATTGTGGACCCGGAAAACCCGCCTGCCATGGCACCCCCCACGGTGGTCCTAGACAAGGCTGCCAGCCCCCGCTCTTCTCCAAAGCCCCAGGTCTCCTTCCTCCATGCACCAAACAGCCTGGATGTAAGTCCCCAGAACCTCTCCCAGGAGGAAAGCATGCAGGTAAGCAGCATTCTGGGCCATGCAGAGTCAGGGTGACCAGACCAGGGATGTGAGTGTCGAGCTCCCAGTCAGACCCTGAGGCCAGGCCAACCACTCCCTCGGCTGTGGGGGGTGAGCCAGGCCCAGAGAGGTGCAGACCCAGCTTGGAATCACCCAGTTCACCCACGCCATGGCTTGCCTCTGGCCAGCTAGATTTGGTTCAAGCCTCGGCTTGGCCATTTTCTAGCTTTAGGCAAGTCACATAATTTCTCTGAGCCTCAGTTTACCATACCTGTGATTCTTGTGAAGCTTGAATGAGAAAATGGATATGAAATGCCTGAACACCCCTTAGGAAGCTGTAGCATGGGGTGCCTGTGAGTCAGTTCTTTATTCTTCTCCATGGCACTCCATGAGAGAGACTCAGAAAGAGATTTTTTTTTTTTTTGAGACCGAGTCTCGCTGCGATGCCCAGGCTGGAGTGCAATGGCGCTATCTTGGCTCACTGCAATCTCTGCCTCCTCCCAGGTTCGAGTGATTCTCCTGCCTCAGCCTCCCGAGCAGCTGGGATTACAGTTGCCTGCCACCACACCTGGCTAATTTTTGTATTTTTAGTAGAGACGGGGTTTCAACATACTGGCCAGGCTGGTCCTGAATTCCTGAACTCAAGTGATCCACTTGCCTTGGCCAAAGTGCTAGAATTACAGGCACTAGCCACTGTGCCTGGACTTTTTTATTTTTATTTTTTGAGACAGAGTATTGCTCTGTTGCCCAGGCTGAAGTGCAGTGGCACCATCTCAGCTCAATGCAAGGTCCATCGCCTCCCGGGTTCAAGCCATTCTTCTGCCTCAGCCTCCCTAGTAGCTGGGATTACAGGTGCACACCACCATGCCCAACTTTTTTTTTGTTGTTTGTTTGTTCATTCATTCATTCATTCATTTTTTGGTATTTTTAGTAGAGATGGGTTTTGCTATGTTGGCCAGGCTGGTCTCGAACTCCTGACCTCAGGTGATCTGCCTGCCTTGGCCTCCCAAATGCTGGGATTACAGGCATGAGCCACCGCGCCTGGCCAAAGGATTTTTCTTTGTATCCGATCACAGCATGCCAATGGCTTCTCCTCATATTTAGAATAAAAGCTAAATGTTTCACCAGGCCACACAAGAGCCTCGCCAGATGCCCTACTGCCCCCTGCTTCCTCACTGGAGGCTTCAGTGAGGCCTTTTCTATGGCTTCTTTGGCCATCTAGATCGTCCTTGAACATACTGACTTGCTCCCACCTCAGGGCCTCTGCGTACCATCTGCCTGAAATGCTCTTCCTGCAGGATATCTGCATGGCTCACACTCTAACTGCGTTACATTCTCTTCTTAAATGTCACCTCCTCAGAGACGCCCTCCTACATGACAGAAAATACTGCCTTTCCCACCTGCCATTCTCTCTAGCCCATGACCCTGCTTCGTTCTTTGTAGCACTGACCACGGCCCCAGACTCCATTGCCTTGTGATATAGGTGCCCATCATGTAGCACATCAAACCATATTGTGCTACACAGTACAGCAGTAGGCTGCCCGTTTCCCAGATTAGAATATAAGCTCCCAAGAGTTAGTCTTGCTCATCAAAGTCTTTGGCACCGAGGACAGTGTCTGGCACATAGTTGGTGCTCACTAAATATTTGTTAAATGAGTGATGGACTTAGAGATGGAGCATTCTGGAGGGAGATGCAGCAGTGAGTGGGTCTGGGGGCTCTGAGGAACCGGTGAACTACAGTGGAGGCAGGAGGAGCAGGGGAGGGGGAAGTTGTGTGGGAGGTAGAGCTGGTGACCCAAGGCCTTGAATGCCAAGGTAAAGAGCGAGTCCTAGGCCAGGTGCGGTGGCTCAGGTCTATAATCCTAGCACTTTGGGAGGCCGAGACAGGCGGATCATCTGAGGTCAGGAGTTTGAGACCAGCCTGGCCAACATGGGGAAACCCCATCTCTACAAAAATGCAAAACTTAGCCGGGCATGATGGCAGAGCCTGTAATCCCAGCTACTTGGGAGGCTGAGGCAGAGGATCACTTGAACTCAGGAGGCGGAGGTTGCAGTGAGCCAAGATTGCACCACTGCACTCCAGCCTGGGTGACAGAGCGAGACTCCGTCTCAAAAAACAACAACAAAAAGAACAAGTCCTAGAGCATGAGAGCTGGAAGGGACCCTGGGTGTGATGGATCCAACCCTTGCATGTACAGGCGGGTAGACTAGGGCCAAGACAGGGGGCCTTGGCTTATCTGAGAGAGGTTTTACTGGAGGGCATCTTAGTGACGGGCTGTCCCTTAAGACTTTCTCTGCCCCTGTCTCTCCAGGATCCCATCAGATTGCCCCCACTCCCTGAGAGGAGTTCCTCCCTCCTGGAAGAGTCTTTCGGAGGCCCCAGTGACATCATCTATGCAGACCTGAGGAAGATAAACCAGGCAAGGCCAGGCTTGGGCACAGAGGGGTCCAGCAGGCATGGCCCGGTTCCAGCCGGTAGCCAGTCCTGTTCACCAGGCACTGAGGCCCAGAAGAGACTCTCAGATGTAGAACAGAACAGGCCTGATGGCCTGGTGCCCATCCTCTCTGGGGCTTACCCAGGCCAGGGGCCCACAGAGTCTCCCACTTCCTGGGGGTTCCTCCTGTCCTCCAGTTCTGATGCCATGGAGTCCCTGGGGGCTACCTGGAGGCAGGAGTTTCCAAAGCTGAGCCCAGAGGCTCAGCTCTGCTCCCAGGGCAGCTCTGAAGATTTCTATGAGTTCATCGGGACAGAAGGCCTCCTGCAGGAGGCCAGGAAGGCACCAGGCCAAGAAGGCAGTACCTATGAGCAGATCCCAGCTTGCCGGAGTGGCCCAGCCAGGGCCCCACATCCTGGGACCAGTCCCACATATAGCAAACTGTCAGTGCCCATGGACTCTGGCTACAAGAGGATCTCAGGGACCCCAGGGCTTCCAGAGCCTGGGAACACCTATGAGCAGATCCCAGCAACCAAGAGCAAGGAGACCGGACGGACACACAAGGTGAGCTCCATGATGGGGTGGGGCGGCTCCCGGCCCTTAGAGAGCACCGACCTACAGCCCCCAGGCATGGGCAGGGCAGGTCACCGCCGCTGCCTAGAAATGCCCGAATTTTCCAGACCTATCATCTGCCTGGAAGTGGTGGTGGTGGTGGGAGAGGCAGCTGCTAGATTTGGATGTAAGACAGGGGCTTCCAGGCCCTTCTAAGGGCATTCTCTACAGCAGATCAGGGTTCCTGGCCCCTCCCTCTCAGCCTCTGCAGGGCTCTCAGAGCCTCTGGGAGCAGGAGAAGGGCCCCTTAGTCCCTACTCCCTAGCCTTGTAGCTTTGGACAAGACAAATTCCACGACAACCAGTTACACTGGAATTATGGAAAAACAACAAATAGTTTTTAGGCCGGGCATGGTGGCTTATGTCTGTAATCATAGCCTTTTGGGAGGTGGAGGCAGGTGGATGGCTTGAGCTCAGGAGTTTGAGACCAGCCTGGGCAACATGGCGAAACCCCATCTCTATGAAAAAATACAAAACATTACCAGGCGTGGTGGCCTGTAGTCTCAGCTACTTGCGGGGTAGAGGCAGGAGGATCGTTGAACCTGGGAGGTCAAGGCTGCAATCAGTCAAGATTGTGCCACTGCACTCCAGCCTGGGAGACAAAGTGAGACCCTATTTCAAAAAACAAATCAAAACAAAACATTACAAAACATTTTAAAGTATGTCTCAAATACCGCAATTATTCCTTTGTTTATCTGAAATTTAAATTTAGCTGGGCATCTGTATTATTACTTAGCAACCCTACGCAGGACCTCCATTTCATCATCTGTAAAATGGGCTGATCCTCTGCTTGTACCCAGAGGCAGGTGCCTGGAGGCTAATGCTAGACATCCTCTCCTGCTCAGGACACAGCCCAGAGATGGCTCTTGATGAACAGAGCTATTATTCTGAGGCTCTCTGTGGTGGTGGTGGTGGTAGGAGAGGCAGCTGCTAGATTTGGGTGTAAGATGGGGGTTTCCAGGCCCTTCTAAGGGCTTCCTCTGCAGTAGACCAGGAGTCCTTTCCCCTCTCTCTCAGTTTCTGCAGGAGTCTGATAAGAAAGGAAGAGAGGGTACCAGGAATGTGGGGGGTAGTGGCCAGGAGTGGGGCTGGTCCAGGGTTCCCAGGGAGACGGATGAACTCTCTGGAGCCCTCGATCCCAACCATACTCTGCCTGTGCCTGGAGACAATGAAACCTGGGAGTCCCCTCCCCATGGGCAAGACCTCTGATCTCAGGCACACGCAGATCTTCCTGCCCAGACTCCTAGTGGAAAGATCTTCCCAGGAATTGCTGACAGCTCCTCCCTCAGGGCAGTGCTGTACCCACACACCCTATGGAAAGCAGCCTTCAAGATCCTGACTCTCCCGGGAGCACAGACCCGGCAGTGGACAGTCCTGAAAACCTCAGAGGCCACATCCCATGTCTGCTTTCGCCCTGCAGCTGTCCCATGTCCTCTCCCATCCCTGAGGCCCTGGGTGCAGCCTCATCCCACTCTACCTCGAACACCAGTGCATCCTGAGGCTGCCAGCTGCAGGTCGAGGGAGACCAGGGAGGCTCGCCACCCTTTCCACATTCCCCTTTCCCCTCCTCTCCTTAGCCAGAAGAGGGTGAACCCTGCCTCCAGAATTGGAGAACTAAAGGTGGGATTTCAGGCACTGAGAGGCCTGTGGCATCAACCATCAGAATTCCAACCTGGCCTCGGGGCCTGGATGAGTTTTCCTCGGCTTGGGGTCCCAACCCAAGGTCAATGAGGGGTCCTTGGAGCCTGGGTCTTTCCCTCCCTGTCCAGCAACCCCAGGCCCCAGTATCTTCTCCTTCCTTGCAGCCTGACAAGCTTCGGAGGCTCTTCTTCACCGACAGGAGGCACAAATTCTGAGGGCCTGGCATCTGGCAGCCCACCAGTGGGTTTCCTTGTACTCAGGCCATGCCAGGGGTTATTGCTAAGCCCTCAGCTCACTTGAAGGCACCCTCTGAAACTTCAGGCTCATTCAGCCTGCTACAGAACTAGGCTCAAAGACAGCCAAGGTGCCTGCCCGAGAGCAGGTGGAAGAGGACCTTCCAGCTGCCTACACCTCCCGCCTATGTCCTCCTTTCCTTCTGCCTCCCATCCATGCAGAGGAGGGAATCAAGGCTGGAGAGGAGTGAGCCTGGCCAAAGGCGGGGGTCAGCACCCCCATTTCCCAGAGGAGCATGCTGAGGCCCGGGCAGACTGGCTGAACCTGCCTCCCACTACTGAGCACTTACCAAATGTGTGGCAGGCCGTGTACTGGAACGGACACCTTTCTAACTAGCCAAGTGACATCCTGCAATTGCTATTGGGAACAAAACCAGTTCCCCTTCTTGTGGCCCTATCAGCGAAAAGGAGGGGAGGGCCAGAAGCCACATCCTCTGCTTCTGCCTCGCAGTGATTGGAGCAAGAAGCCAGGAAATAGCAGGGAAGGCCCGGCCTCAGAGGCAATGGCTCTGACTCTGGAAGCAGCTGGGCTCCTGGGGACCTGCCCCTTGGCTCTTTTCTGTCTTCCGCCCCCATCCCACCCTTGCTGTACAAGCTGGGCAGATCCTAAGGGCATGGCATCCAGTCTAACCCCTTTGTGCTATCGATGAGGAAACAAGGCCCGCAGAGGAGCAGCGACCTGCCTAGGGCTGCACAGCCAGCCAGGGCCTGAGCAGAAGCCTGTGGTCCGGCAGGGCAAGCCCAGCTGGCTGCCTGGGATGTACTTGTGGGCTGTATCTGGTGCCAGGCAGTGGGCACGTGGTGGCCATCTCTATATAACCGGGTCACCCTCACCTGCCCTGTGGCTCCAGCTAGTCCTGACCTTGACAGGTGGCTCCTGAGCCCCACCCATGAGACTGAGCCCCAACCTGGCGGCCCGGCCCTCCAAAGAGCCCTCAAGGCCTTGCCCAGGCACCAGAGGCACCAGCATGGGCAGAGGGCACTCCGGCCGCTCGCTCCGGCTGTGCCCTCAGGACAGGCTGGGCCTTCCTGGATCTCCGTCCCTCAGGAAACTTCCTGTTTTGTGTGTCACTTCCTTTCCTATCCACATGAACCCTTCTCTGTAAGGGCGGACAGTTGGCTTGCTGCCCGGCTCCCCACTACCCAGCCCAGGATGCAGAAAACAGAAGTGATCATCTCCACATAGAACACCATAGGTGCCCCTCTTCCCTACCCTGACCCTGGGCAGAGCTGGCTCAGGTCGCATTTGTGGGAAATCTACCCTTAGTGACCACTCGGCTGTGCACCTTCGGAAATATAGGCCTGTAAGAGTCCCGCCCTCCTTGGGGGTTGTAAGGATTGTGACGGAAGCAACTGCCCCTGTGCCCGAAGTGTGGTTAGCACTCCCGGATGTTAACCAGAATACTCTCAGGGAATTCACGGAAGGCTCGGGGCCTGGATGAGTTTTCCTCCGGAAGGCACACACACTGAAATCAAAGCTAGTGCCTAAAGCCGGAGGCACTGCCTCACACCGAGAGCTGAGGCACCCATGGTGGGATTTCAGGGATCAGGAGCAAAGGTACCCTCAAGCATTTCTTAACATCAGCAGACATGGAGAACACAGGGATGCAAAAGTGTTTTATTACCAGGAGTTCACAAATCTGTGGACAGCACACACCAGTGAGGATCCCATGGTGTTGGGGAGGGCAGGCAGGGTGGTCCTCATGACCCAGAGGCAGAGCCAGGGGCAAGAGCCCTTGGGCCCACTGCTCCCACATTTCACATTGTGAAGGAGGTGGGGAGAAGGGGAACAGGCAGGGGTGGGGGGCAGCCCAGCCTTGGGTTTTGGAAAAAATTGCATAGCTCGTTAAAACCCTGACTTCTTTTTTTTGTTCCCCTCTGTCCTGGGTGACCAGGGTGTCTGCCAGCACTGGGACATGACCCCACCACGTCCTGTTGGTTGATCTGCCTTTCCCTCTGGGAGATGGGGAGCATTTCTGGACGGGAAGAGGGCTGGGGGTGTGGAGGGCCTGGAGAGGGGCCATGGGTCCTGGGGCTGGACCACAGGGGGGCTGTGGGAAGGGTCCTAACCCTCACACGCCCCCTTCCTGGTTAGTTTTTTTGCTGAAAGGGCCACAGGAAATATTCGTGGTGTAAACCCCAGAGGCTGCCCCTGCTTTCCTGGGGAGCATGGAGGCCACGCCCATGTGACCGCAGGGAAGGATGGTGGACTCCAGGCCCCTGCCGCCTCTGCCGTGTCCTCAGATCCGGATGTGGAAAGTGCTGGAAAGAGAGATAGGCAAGAGAGAGTGAGAGGCCCCGGGGTCGGGCAGGTAAAGGCTCCTCAGGGAAAAGCACACCAGGCCCCAGCCCCGCACCACCGCCGCTGGACAGTGCCTCATTAGGACCCCCTGCAGACAGGATGCGAGTCATCAACAGGGAGGGAAGGCAGGCTTGGGGGGGACAGCGGTGCCCAGGGAGCTCTGCCCCTAGTTATCATTGAAGGGGCCCTCAGGTCTTCAACCTTCACATCAGAGTCTGGCCCTCCAGGGGACAAGGGCCAGTCACACATCAAAGGCAAGGGGGCCTTGACTGTGACCTCCTGCTCCCTGGCCACGCAGCATGCTCACAAAAAGCAAGTGATAGGGGCCCGCAGCCCTGGCATCCTGGCCTGCCCTGCCCTGCCCTGCCAAGCTCAGCCCCTCTAGTGGAAGCACCTGAGGAAGTCAGGGGCCTTAGCAATCATGTCCTCGAAGTCAGCAAAGCCCAGCTTGCCGTCGCCGTCCAGGTCGGCCTCCTCAATGACCTTGTCGCACACAAGCACCACCTCGTCTTCATCCAGCTCTGACTTTGTGAGCCGGGCCAGCGTCAGCTCCAGGTCCTCCTTGCAGATGAAGTTGTCAGTGTTGAAGTCTGTCGGGTGGGGGTTGGACACGTTCGAGCCTGGGTTGGGTGCACCCAGGGACCCCTACACCATAGCTCTTCCTCCCAGCTGGTCACACTACCTCCACCAGCTTCTGATGTCCCAGAGCATCTCCATGCACACTCTTGGGATACTGGATCCATGCCCCCAACAGGGCTCACCCACCAGGCATAGCTTAAACACCCACAGCCACCACCTCAACAACCCGACAGTGACTAAATGTCCAGCCACATCCTGAAACAGCTCAAAAGTCCAAATCTGAGGTTTCCTGAGAACTTCAGGCGTAGGCCAGATAGCCCTTCCTGGCCTTAGCCCACAGCCGACCCTGTTCCCTTTAGACTTCCAGAGCTAAGGAAACCAGGGCACAGAAAGGCCATGTGATTGAATCAAGGTCAGAGAGCCACATGGAGATAGAGCAGGGATTCTGATTGGGCCTATGTGAGTCTGAGACCCAGGTTTTCTCAGCTGTGCCATACTGCCTCAGTGGTGTGTGGCCAGGAGCCACGATGGCTCAGAAGACTCAGAATCGAAAGGCCCTTAGAGAGGGCCCATGCCTGGCCTTTGTGCACACAGAGCAGGGAACATGGTTTGATTCTACCCAGCAAAAGGCAACACTACTGCTCAAAGAACAGCAGAACGGTTCAGAGGACCAAGCCACGTGTAGCCGCGTCAAAGTTAACTCCAAGTCTCTTCTTACCATTTTCAGCCCAACGACCAGATCTGCACACGTGCTGTTTCTTCTGCCTGGGGTGCCCTCCCCAGCAAACTCCTGGTCATCCTTTACATTTTGGCTCACACATCACTTCCCAGTGGCAGAGCTTTCTAGCAATAAGGGTCCTCTCCCCTGCAAATGAGCTTCTCCTGCCCACTGGGCAAACTCTGACACGAACGGTAGTGATGAAGACCCATGATGTGAGCATGACATGCTCTTTCTCATTTAATTTTCAGAGCAAACCTATGAGACAGGCACAGCTGAATCCCCACTATACACATGAAGAAACAGGGAGGTGAAAAGGGGAAGCACCTGCCTGAGGTCACATCCCTGGTCATTGTTGGACCCTAGAGCCCAAGCTCTTAGGGGTAACTCTACCCAGTCTCTGCACAGGCCTGTGCACAACTCTAGGGTAGTGGCAGGTAGGACTCAACTTTGCCCTTGACATGGGACACAGCAATGTCTGCAAAGATTCGCTGGCTGGCTGGATTCCTGTGGCCATTTAATATGAGTAAACTGAGGCCAGAAGTGAGATGATTCTTGTTGCTAATGAGGCCCCAGGCCTCCCTAGCACCAGAATCACCCTGGCTGCCTTTCCCCACTCCACCCCCAGCCTAGGTCAGCAAGGGAGCCACAGTTCTTCCGTACATTCCTGTGCCTGCTGGTCCATGCGACCTGCACTCCTGTCTTGGGCAGACAGCAGCCCTTCCCAGGAGCAATACTGTGGGGTCTGAGACTGCGCTGATGTTGGGTGGAATCTGGAAGGCTTTTTATATGAGTCATGTGGGCATAATTTGTGGACGGTAGACTGGCAGGTATTTTCTTTCTGACATGCAAGCAAAATGTGGGTGTACAGACAGAAACCAAAGTCCTCCAAAGTCAACACAACTAGAAAGGGAAACATCAGCCCCTGGTAGGCCCTGCTGCCTTGGGGTCCAGCGTCTGATCAAAGGTGCTGAGGACAGGTGGTTTGACCTTGACTCTTTGGGTCCAGGTTGGGTCCCAGCCCCTCTGTGAGCCTTAGCCATCTCACCTAAGGTCTGTCTGAGGATCTGACATGAGTCCCCATGGGTCTGTTGTGAAGTTTTCTCCCTGGGGCTGTTGGAGAAGCGCGAGTCCTTGGCTCGTGAGTACCTGCTGCCCCCTGGTGGCTGGTGAGGCAGCAGGCCCACGGGCAGGGCTGGGCGGCTGACCCAGTGGCCCTACTTCTGGCAGTGTTAGGGGGCTCCAGAGGCCCCTCTTCAGGCTGACCTCACCACCATGGCCGAGGCAGCCTCTCCAGCTCCTCCATTTTACATCTCAAAGCTGCTGAGTGATCTTTCTAGAAAAGAGAGCTACACTTCCCCACTGGAAACCCTACAGTGGTCCTGGTATCCGGAGTACTAGGTCCACACTCCTTGGCTGGCTCTCACAGCCTGGCCCCAATTACCTCTCCGGACTCACACCGCCCTCACTCCACCACCTTCCAAGTTTCTCCGCCTCCTTACCAAGCTCTGCGCCTCCCTGCATCTGCACGGGCTGTGCCCTCTGCCAGGCCTGCCAGCCCCGCTTTTCCAGTCCAAGCCTCTGCTGTCTCTGCCTACAGGTCATGCCTGCGACCCCCCTCACACTCACCACGCAATCTGGGGTGGGCGAGGGCCTCCCTCCTCTGTTCTCAGGACCCCTAGAGATGTCTCTCAGGCACTGATGTCTCCCTTGGCCAGCCCACTGGACAGGCACTCTTCAGAAGACAGATCAGTCTCACTGTCCTTGGTGTCCCCAGGGCAGGAGCCAGCAGTCATCAGACAGCCCCATGCCCCAAATACTGCCCCCCTCACATTCACGGCCCCCTCCTCAAGCCCTGGTTACCGTAGATCTTGAAGGCATAGTTTGCCTTCAGCTCTCGGGGAGCCGACTCGCAGAGCACGGAAAACATGTCCACAAAGTCGTTGAAGGTCAGGTTCCCCTCACCATCCTCGGAAAACGTCTCCACAATCCTTTCTTTGAAGGGATTCTCCTGAAGAAAACACACGACACACACAGCAATCACTGTGGGTGCAGGGTACGCAGGAGGGCCCGGCAGCCAGACTGCCAACAGTCTGCGTGACCCTGGAGGATGGATGGAATCCCTCTGAGCCTCGGTTTTCCCATCTGTAAAAAGGGAATCATAATAGCACCTACTTAAGTGAATCGTGAGGGGACTGAATGAGCTAAAGTATGTAAGGTGTTCATACCAGGCCCGGCACGTGTAAGAACTTGGGAAGCATTCTGTTGGGTCACGTCACATCATCAAGATGGGCACAGCCAGGGACAGTGGTGCACGCCTGTGGTCCCAGCTATTTGGGAGGCTGAGGTGAGGGAACCACTTGAGCCCAGGAGTCTGAGGCTTCAGTGAGCCATAATTGTCTCACTGTACTCCAGCCTGGGTGACAGAGCAAGATCCCCTCTCCAAAAAAAAACAATGCTGAGCCCAGCCAATGTGTTCTTACCAGAGGCACTGCCTCATGTGAAGCGGAAACACGGGTTCCTCCTGTTACGCAGAAGAGCACACACAGGCTCTGCCTGGACGTGTAGGGCACGTCCAGCAGAAGAAGATGACAGCACAGGGCCCTGGCGACCTTGGCTCAGGCCGCATCAGGCCAAGATCGTGGGAGGTGAATGTAGGGTCAGATAACTGGGCCAGACAAGCAGCAAGTGTCACAGAGCCAGTTCAGGCCCGGGTCTGCCATTGCTCTGCTCCTGTGAATCCTCCAGACCACCTCGGATGCCGCCTCCCCCAGGGAGCTGTACACAGACACCTTCCTCTGACCCCCAGATCACTCGTCCAGAGCCCTTCCATCCCACCTAAGCTAGCACTTGGCTAGCCCCATTCTGTGCCC